GTGGGTTATTTTTAGATAGAGATATTCCTTTTATTGGCGGTAGTCCTGATCGTGTTATTACTTGTTTGTGTTGTCCACTTCCATGTCTTGAAGTTAAATGCCCAGTTTCTCTAAATTACTTGTCTCCACTTGATCCGAGTGTAAAACTTCCATATTTGATTAAAAATAATGTTGGTATTTCTTTAAACAAAAATCATGTTTATTATATGCAATGCCTTGTGCCATTGTGCAAATGGCTGTTACAAGGCACCATCATTAAGGGGGTAATTACCCCTTTAATGATGGTGATTTAATTTTATATATAAAATTTCAAACTTCAAAATTTTATATATAAAATTAAAGAAATTTCTTAAAAAAAACAAAAAATTATGTTGCAGCATGATTTTTTTGCAAAAATTTTATTTATATACATATATTTAAAAAAAATTTTTATTTATAACACATTCCATATATATTATAAATAAATTAGCTTACATACATTCTAAAGGATCCACATACATTCTAAAGGAAACAGTGGTTTTAGCGAAAAATTAGTTGTGTCGATATTATATGGCTGTTACTTTTTTATATTCCCAAAATCCCAGGATCGTCCAATATCAATCCCGGCATTTCGAGGTCGAATGTGCGGGGAGGTTGGCGCCCTTTTTTGCAGCAATTTCCCTCTTCTTTTAACACTTGTCCTCTGTATCACATAAATTATGTTATAAAAATCAAGTAATATGTTTATTTGCTATTATAAAGTGCTCTTTTTTCAAAAATTCCCTCTCCCCCTTCTCCTCTTCACAAAAATATTTTAAGTTACGGGCCTCTATGGTTAAAGTTTAAAGTGGGAAATACGGCATAGTAAAAAAATATATTCCCTTTGGACTTGTAAGCATGATATATTGTTAGGAAAGTAATTTAACGTGAAGTAAATTTTTTCTTAGTTCGTTACATATAATTATTAGTACTGTATCAGAAAGGGCCTAGGAAAGTGCAACTTGTTGCTCTTAAGTTTAGGTCAGGTAGGCCAATTTTTTAGGTCTTTTTTGTTCCCAGGCTTCAACATCGCAGTCTTTTGTAAAGAATCTTGATTTGATATAATGACATTTTCATACCCCCCTCCCCCCATGGTTTTAATCTTATTAAAACTTGAAGCATTAGTAAGTTTAATTTCTAGAAATAAGTTAACATTAATATTAACGTATTTAGAATTAATTTTGTGCTGTTTTTTTCATTCACGCTAGCAAATGTGATCACTATTTTTTTGCGCTGTTTAACATTTATAACCTTAGCAGGCCATGAATGTAGGCGGCGATCACCTTTGACTAATTGGCAAGTGAATGTGAACTGCCATCTCAATTTTTTTAATTTACGTACATACATTTGTTGAACATCACCCATCCAGCCCAACGTACGCAAATTACACAACTTAGGACACCTAACTTCTTGCTGCGTACGTAATACATGGATGACCCCTAAACAAGATTGTTCTAAACACCTCTCAAATGGACACCTAAGAGGTCATGATCACTTAACTAACTTATAAACATTTCAAATTATTAACTAAAACAGTGGTTTATCTAATAAAAATAAACAAAATTTAAGATTTTAGCGACTAAACAAAATCCTTTACTACAAGTGTTAAGCCTGCTCTGAAAAGGCAGAGGAAGGGGAGAGATTCCTGACCCTAGACTTGCTGAAGAAAAAAAAACACATTCCAAACTTATTAGTCTTTTTTTATGAAACATATGCAATTACAAGAATGTTCATGAAGATTTGAAAAAAAAATCAATTTAATTGTAGTCTTCCATTCAATCTTTACAGTTTTCCAAGTTCTTTAAGAAATTCTCGAGAAAGAGGAAAGTGAAAAGTTTTATTAAAAAGGGAAGATAAAAATAAAAAAAATGGAATCCATTCCACAGTGATCGTGTATGTTCAATGGATTTAGTAGGTGGAACACCTACCATTGCTAACATAAAGCCAAGAAGGAGTTTAAATAAAACTTTGTACAAAATTGAACTTTTTAGTTTTGAAAGGTATTAGTACAGATTCCTGTGCTAACACATTTCTTGAATACTATTATTTATCGACTTTAAGGTCTTATATTTTCATCTCTTGAATTATTGACCAACACAGGTTGTAAGTTACAGAGTGCAGCACAAGCCCTCACAATATCATCAACATGACGCAACATTGTTAGAGGAAAAACATTCTTTAAAATTCTATAAGTTTTCATTCTATTAATGACTCGTTCAACGTGTATTCTTAAGTTTGCTATTTTTTTAGTTTTTTTACATTTAGATGCAATCATTTGACTTTTAAGACGAGCACATGGAGGAATTATCAAAGTATAAAATATTAACAAAAGTTCTTCCGGGATTTGAAATCCACGATCTGCCATGACTTCATCGTCACGCTCTAACAAGTCATAAAAACCACTGTCTTTTGTTATAAAATTATCTGAACATCTTCCACCATAACAATCAGATAAAAAAGTGATAAAACCACTAGGCGAAATTCCTACAAGAAACTTAAACGTATTGTGTTGTTTATAATCAGACCAAGTTGAAGCTTATGCTTAGAGAGACTTGGGTCGTTGAATAAAAACTTCAGCACAATCAATAATCACACAACACTTGTAATATCCTGCATTCTTAAAAACCCTAGGCAAATTTTCCCTGATAATTTCACGGGGAAGCCATACAATAAGAGCACTACCTAACACATTGCTTATAAGTTTAATCCATGTGGAAAATATGTTAGAAGAAGTAGTAGGAGAATTTCCGAATCGTTCTGCAATGTCTTCATTAAGAATACCAAGACGAAGTCGCATAAGTGTTAAAAAAAATTCGTCACGATGAGAAAGTTTTCTATATATAGTTGACTGAAATCTGCGCTTTAATTTGCTAGTATTCTGAACATGTTTTGGTCCTCGCCAGTAACTAAACTTTTGAAGAAATTGTATAATAAGTAAGAAAATGGCATTAAATAAAGCTATAGTAGATATCCCTGTATAAAAGTTCATTTTTTTGTCTGTTTTAACTTTGTTGCATGAAAAAATCAATAATTTCTTAGTTTGATTAACTTGTTTTTGGTTTAGTTGTTTCAAGGATATATTCATGAAATTACCTTTTTTAACAAGAGAATCAATCAAAGATGTTTTAGAATTACATCCTTCACACACATTTAGCAATGACTGGCTAGCATATGTATGTTCACAACTTGGCGGTGGTAGATAAATTGCATTATCGTTATTACTACTGCATAACTCATTGGTATTATTTTCAGTTTAATATTATTAGTGTCATTACATTCTGTGCTAATACCTTTTAAAATTAAATAGTTCGATTTTGGACAACGTTTATTTAAACTCTTTTTTGGCTTAATATTAGTAGAATTATATCCCATATAATTAAGGTCTGGATTAGCAATGGTAGGTGTTCCATCCACAAAATGCATTGAACATACACGACCACTGTCGCATGGATTCCATTTTTTCTTATTTTTACCTTCCCTTTTTAATAAAATTTTCCACTTTTCTCTTTCTCTAGAATTTCTTAAAGAACTTGGAAAACAGTAAAGATTGAAAGGACGATTACAACCACATTGTTCTTTTTTTAAACCTTCATGAACATTACACTCTTGTTTTTTTCACTTCAAAAGTTTATAATGGCTATTCGAACACCCTATTACTGCACAGTTACCTCTTACCATCGTGTTGAAGTCAAAAGATGAGATAAATACAAATAAAATACTAATTCAAATACAGATAATTAAGAACTTTTTTCGACTTTTACCCACACAATTAGAGTTCAGTCCCCGCCGCGCAAAATGGTAGAGTTTAAGTTGGATAGGTGTATTTACCAATATTGATCAATTATATGTTAAAACCCGAGGAACTTACATGACAAACTATTATCAAGATCCTATTTGTCTACAAGAGCAAATATAAAACATAAATGAAAGACTTAATTTATTTTTTTGGTAATTTGTTCGTAAGCATACATTAATAAATATTGTTTCAGTAATTTTACAATCCACTTACGGAAGAAATGGTGATACGAATATTTTGTTTGAACTATCAGCATACTTGTATTTTGTAATTTTATTCCTCGGTTAGTTTTAAAAATATTCCTTTGAGTTTTTACATTTTTGGGATTATTTTAAGTAGAGAAAGCAAATTACACATAAAAAAAAGGTTTTTTGGACTTTTTAAAAGTACTTTATATTCGGTTCCGGCACTAAAGTATGGTCTTGAGCATTGTGGTTATAAAAACATTGTAATGCAAAAGCTTGATGTAATTGGAAGAAACTCACTTTTTATTTTATTTCTAAATATCTTCACTTCCAACAAGGCTGCTATTAGAGTTAGAAGTTACTGGAATAGAAAAGATAAAGTTCATAAAGAAAGATAACGGTTAACAGACGACTTAAAAGATTGCAAATTATATAAATCAGGAAAACAAGATAAAGGAAGCAAATTCCAAAGATTTAATGTTTAAGGGAAATTTTGTGCATACATTAATCCTATGCAGCATTTGTTGTAAAACTATTTGTAATTTACCGCTCTATCGGCCAATTTTTGTACATTTCGCATTGACATCAAGTTTTTTTAAAATGATTCACCGATTTTCAAACCGAATATTTCTCAACTTTATAACCTGCAGTAAATCAAACATTATAAATTACTGAAAATTTTTTGAGCATTAAATCTTAATAAAGGTATACTTTTTGTTTTTGAGAAAAGATAAAACAATATAATTTACCTTTGTGATATTTGTAGAAAAAAGAAAGAAATGTAATCCTTTATTGATGGTACACCGGCTTAAGTTTCTTTTGGCTTTGTATATTACAAATGGTGGAGCAAAAGTCCCATCAGCGTTACAGCAATTTTTCACATTATAATGAATTTTTTAATCGTTGCCAGTAAGTTTAAATGCACGTCTTGTCCTTTTTTGACACACTACGGTTACTTTGCCTTGATCACCCGAAAAACCTGCTTCATTACAGTTCCAAATATGCGATCCAAATATGCAAATATGCGTAACTATTCTATTGTTATTGAGAATAACAATAGAATAGTTACGACCAACCTTTCTGAGATTGCTAACGAACTAAACAATTTTTTCAGCTCAGTTTTTACTATTGAAGATAAAAACCTCCTAGAGTTTCCAAAACAGTGCGATGTTTTATGCCCAAATCCTACATTCAATATTGAAACAGTTAGTAAGAAGCTTACAACTCTGAATGTTTATAAATCAACTGGAGTAGACACAATACACTCTAGAGTTTTAAAAGAATGTTGCAAAAGTATTTCAAAACCAGTATCAACTATTTTTGATCGCTCATTTTCGAGTGGCATTGTTCCATGTTTATGGTTATGTGCAAATATTACCCCTCTGTTTAAAAAAGGAGATAAACTAAAAGTAAAAAATTATAGGCCGGTATCACTCACATCAATAGTGTGCAAAGTGATGGAAAGCATAATAAGAGACACACTAATGAATCATCTGACTAAAAATAGTATACTTTCTGACTCTCAACATGGTTTTGCATCATCCAAAAGTTGTTGCACAAATTTATTTGAAACATTTGACATCAATAACTCAGGTACTTGAGGAAAATTTATCAGTAGATATAGCTTTTTTAGACTTTGCCAAAGCCTTTGACTCAGTTGCACATAAGAGACTATTATTAAAACTACAATCCTATGGGATCCAAGAACAATTATTAAGTTGGTTTAAAAGTTTTCTAAGCAGACGAACACAAAGAGTGGTTCTCGGTTAGATAACCTTTGAGTGGAAAACAGTAATAAGTGGAGTACCACAAGGATCAGTTATTGGACCCCTTTTATTTGTCATATATATAAATGATTTAACAAGTGAGATAACTAATCATTGCAAATTATATGCAGATGATACAAAAATTATTTCAGTCATTAATACAGTTGAACGTTACAGCAAAACTTATGTAAGCTGGTTGAATGGAGTGAAAAATGGCAAATCAACTTCAATAAAGAAAAATGCAAAACTATGCATATCGGCAAAAGAAATTTAAAATATAATTACTTAATGTGTAGCACATTCGATATAATTCAGCAAGATGCTTTAGTTGTGGAAGAAACCACGTTAGAGTGCGATCTTGGTGTAATAATATCAAACGATGTCAAATGGGAAAAGCATATTAACACAACTGCGGCAAGGGCTAATAGAAAGCTCGGTCAGATAATGAAATCTTTTTGTCGATTAGATGAAATCTCAATGAAACATTTATACACGTCATTGGTTCGTCCACACCTGGAGTTTGCGGTGTCGGTATGGAACCCTTACTACCAAAAGGATATTGATAAAATTGAAAAAATACAACGTAGGGCTACACGAATAAATAGTTTTAGAAGCTTTTGCTATGAAGATAGAGTGAAAAAATTTAACTTGACTACTTTAAAAACAAGAAGAGAAAGAGGCGATTTAATTCAATTTTATAAAATAAATAAAAATATGGATAAAGTTAAATGGAATCATCCTTCTAAAATAATTAAATATGCGATAACAAGAGGTCATACTCAGAAAATACAAAAACAATTCATACATTCTATCACAAGATTTAACTTCCTTACAAACAGAATAGTTAACAATTGGAATAATTTAACAGAGGAGATAATTAATTCTAAAAATTTGAACATCTTCAAAAACAAGTTTGATCGTTTCGAAAAAAACAAAATAAAAATATATAACAAATAAAACAAATATATATATATATATATATATATATATATATATATATATATATATATATATATATATATATATATATATATATATATATATAACATTTAAAAAGGGAAAAAAAAAACTTTTGCAACGTCTTTCAAAGTTTTAACATCTACAGATGTTAGACTCACACATTGTATGTGTACAGCAAAAATTTATTATTATTATAACACAAATAACAAACGTCTAAAACAATTGATACGTGCAGTCTATAAACAATTGATACGTGCAGTCTATAAAAAAAAACAATTGAACTTATACTATTGTGAAAATTATTTGGAAAAAAACTTTTTTTGTATATTTTATATGGTGGTAAAGCAACGCAAAAGAAATCATATAAAACGTTAAATAAAAAGTTAGAGAATGAAATTTCTGGTCAATTTTACATTTTTATTTAATATATGTCGCGTCTTTTATGTCGTCAAGGTTACTTATTAATTGAATTAAGTTTGTTCAGGATTACTTTATATATGGAGTATTTGTTAAATAATATCAATTAAAAATTAGTTTATATTAAAAAATAAATTTTCAATTTTATTGCACTTTTTTGGTAGATTCCTTAGTTACGTCGTGTTTGTTCTTATTTTAAATGTTTGACTTCAGGATGCTAAATTATTTTCGAAAATGAAAGTAAGCATTGGTGTAAGCAATTCTTTTTATTTTGGTTATTAAGGGTTACTAATATTACTTCAAAAAATTTTTTTGAAGATATTTTTAAAGATATTTTTAAGAGTTTCAATAACATTTA